TAATAATAATAATAATAATAATAATAATAATAATAATAATAATAATAATAATAATAATAATAATAATAATAATAATAATAATAATAATAATAATAATAATAATAATAATAATAATAATAATAATAATAATAATAATAATAATAATAATAATAATAATAATGAATGTTCATATTATTAGTGACGAAAATAAATGTCACAATTAAATCTAAATTTTTATAGCTAAAGCTTATAATAATTAACTACAAACTTTTATTTGTCACTATTGTAATAACATATTTTTTGAGACAAAATTATTTTGTGTCCAAAAATAAATTAATTTTAAGACAAATAAAATTTGTTACGAATTAGATACATCATTTGTGACAAAATAATGTGTCACTGATAACTTTAAATTCGTGACTGACAGTACTCAATAAATGACATCAATTCATTTTTTGGTGGGAAATTTTAGTGGACAAAACTTTGCCACAAACTTTTATGTTTCGTAACTAAAAGTATATGTCTCATATATTTAAGCACAAAAAGTAATTTTTGTCACGAAAAGTAAATAATTAGCGACGAATTTTATGTCGTAGCTAACAATTTCGTAGCTATATATCATATTTGTTGTAGTGAACGTAGACCTAATTCAATTTTTTTGAATTGCTGGATAGCAAAAACTTGACTTATATGCTGCTGATTTCGGATGGGGAAGGGCCGCGAAGTTATAATTCATTTCTCTTGACAATGATGATGGTGGAATTTCGATGTCTCTTAGTAAATCTAAGGACTTTGATGGAGATTTAGAGATTGGCTTGTCTTTGTCTAAAACTCGAATGAATGCTTTTGCTACTATATTCACTCACAGGATTAGCTTTTTATACCAAGTCTGAGTGTTCGAGGATTTGGCAAGGATTCCTACATGTATCTTGGCTTTCTTATTCAATTGCTTGATATTAGTTCTTTGTACATCCGAATAAGCTTTTTTGTTTTGTTTATGCATTTTGCACCTTTAAGAGTATAATGTTTCTTCTAAAAGAAAATGTACTACTATATATTATACTTCTCTTTTGACAACCTTCTTAAGGTTTAATTTAATGATAGGAAAATACATAAAGTCTCCTCAAATTAGTCCTCTTATTTTAAAGAGACACTTAAACTCTGCAAAAATCTTATAATACATTCTACTTCATACCACCTAGCTTGAAGGAGGGCATTGACGAATAAAAAGTTAATTCAACACAAATGATGAACGTGGTTGGTAATATAAATTTATTATTTGAATTTTGAAAATATAATACAAAACTAGAAAAGAACATAGGGTAGCACGTGTTAAAGATGTAACACATATACAGCTTATTTATTTACTTTTAATGTTCACTTATTGTGGTGAAACCAAAATGATCAAATTCCATTCCTACTTGCTACGTTTAGGAGTTTTTATATATTTTTTTAAATATAAAAAGGTTTAATTGTTCAAACTTTAATTAATTTTAAGATTCTAATTATGATTGGAGAAATAACAAAAAAATATAATTTTATCTAATGTGAAATCCTTTTATAAATGATTAAAAAAGGATGATCATTTCATTTATGGTAATTACATTTGGGTATGTAATTACCCAAATCCTTTTATACCATATATATATATAGGGAGAAAGAAATTTTGAATCCGTTGAACACAAGACTAGAGATTGACTCAGTGATTTAGGATTTCAAAATTTCCAAATTCAAACCCTAGACATTCTTGAATTCCTTTAATGAAAATTCTAAATTTGGCACTGATCCGCAAGTAGCAACAACCACTTGAAAACTTTCATATTCTTGTCTTGTATACTAGAAAGTGATGCCCGTGCGATGCACGTGGTCTAAGCCCAACAATTTGATTCTTAATGTGTTCAAATATGCAATATTTATTATTAAAAAAAAATGGACCAAAAGATATATCTTATCTTAAATTTTTTGTCATTACAAATTGTATTAGCATCAAGTTAATAATGTATTAGTACCATAAAAAAGATATAGTTAGTGCATAGTTAGGTTTGTATGACAACCAAAATAACTACACCTGAATGTTTCAACAATTGATATGCATTGATTTCATAAAATAATCACTACATGGGAAGGAATCATCAACAATTGTAATTTTGAGAATTAACCAAAAAAAAATAATCTCTGTCATCAAACGAAAATTGTAATTCACACAATTTTTAGTTGAAAATTACACTACTAACAATGCTAAAAATATTAATGATAGATCCTAAAAGGTTTCTCTTGATCTTGCAACGGTTGACAGTAATCTAACTTTCATTTTTTCAAGCAGATTTTTTTTCACATGGATGTTGGTGCTTCTTCAGCGGTACATTTGTACCTTTCAGAAAAAGTAAAATAAAATAGGATTCAGGAGGAAAGTTCCGTTTAAACCCATAAAAAGGAAGTGACTTTTATGCAACAGTTAAATACCACTCTAGCCTTTTCAATTTTCTTTCTCCATTTGTATTTCAAATTGCTTTCTCCATTTGTATTTGGTCCCTGACATAAGTGTGTTATTGTTAGAAAGTCATCCACCTAGAGAGGAAGGCATAACAAAGAATTAGGGATCATGACAAATTTCAACCGAACAAATTAACACATTTTTAAATGGGGAACTTACATAAATATACTATATTAAGAAAATATTTACCATCTATAGCAATAATATTTTCTTTTCACTTGATCACTTTGAATACATTTATAATACAAATTTAATACATATTACAGAGAACACTTGTAACGACTCGAACTGTCGTTAATTAGGAAATGAAAAATATTGAGGAAATTTTGGTCTCCCAGCCTGCCAGAGTGGGCCTGATGCCGCTAGGGCGGTGGCGCTCTAGCAAGATAAGTTGCCGCCATAGCAGGATGGGCGAGACAGATTGTAAATAACGCAAAGTCTGATTTTCTCATTTTTCCAAAAACACCAAAAAGAGGCAGGATTACCCCAGAAACCCTTTTAAGGCTGCTCTAGGCTTGGGAAGGAAGGAGAAAGAGATTTCTAGCATAAGGAGGTTGATATATTGCGGACTTCCGGTCAAGATTCACCGTCCCGTCGCTCAAAAATCAGAATTGAAGCTATAATCCCGTGCAACTGCTTAGCACCCAGGTAGGCTGAATTTTATTAATTGAGTAGTATAAATTTGTAATTCACTGCATAGTATATTGGTAATGGACGGTAGAATTCATGTGTAGGCTTTTGTGCACTGAAAGGAGATGATTAAACATATATTCGTAGGGTTGTATCAGACATATACCGTAGGAGAAAGTACTACTCCATGAACTAGGGTAGGTGAATGCTTGATGTCATGTTTGTGTGATGTATGTTAGTGTTTGATTCATTGTGATGCATATATGTATGCGAATGTTGCACTGTTGATCACATTAAATGCGAATTAGTATGAATGGGTGATTGTATGCCTTGAACCAACACTTGATTGTATGATTTTGAGAATGGCGTCACTATCTATATAAAATAATTAATTAGCAAAATTCCGGGAAAAAAAGCGACGGACAGCGTCTCTTAGTCTGTCGCTTTTAAAGAAAAAATTTATTTTTTTTTAATTAAAAAGCGACAGACTAAGAGACGCTGTCTGTCGCTTTTTAAAAATGTTTGACTAGATATTTTGACCAAAAAGCGACGGACTGAGAGATGCCGTCCGTCGCTTTTTTGAAAAACTAATTAGTAAAATAAAATAAATTAAAACGACGGACAGCGTGGTTATTGTTTAATTTATAAATAATTGTATAAATTATAGGAACCACATATTATAAGTACTAAATAACATCCTATCCCTTCTAGTTTTCTATTTACCAAAAATCCCTTAAAAATGATATTTGCGGGATACATAGCGGCGTGCACGGGATACATTAGGTTTGATACATTCCACATAGAGGGATACATAGCATTGTGCACGGGATACATGCGAAATACATAGCGTTGTGCACGGGATACATGCGAAATACATAGTGTTGTGTACGTGATACATAACGTTTGATACATTCCACATAGCGGGATATATAGCGTTGTGCACGGGATACATAGGTAAATAAAGGATTTTTGAAAATTTTGAAATAAGTAGGGATAAATGGATATTAAGGTAAGTAAAGGAGTGTAGTTAAGTAATTTGTCCTTATTTTTTAAAAAAAAGAGACGGACTAAGAGATGTAGTCCGTCGCTTTTTGTAAAATAATTTTAAAAATAATTATTTTAATTAAAAAGCGACGGACGGCATCTCTTAGTCCGTCGCTTTTTTGGAGCGACGCTGTCCGTCGCTTTTTCTTCCGTCGTTTTTTAGCATTTTTTTAGTAAATAATCCATTTTTTTTTGGGATGAAGAATATCTTCATATCATCTAGCTTGAAGGAGGGAGTTAAAGAATAAAAAGTTAATTCAACACAGAAATAATGAGCGTGGTTGGTAATATAAATTTATTATTTGAAAATATAATACAAAACTAGGAAAGAACATAGGGTAGCACGTGTTAAAGATGTAACCAAGATAGTACTTATTTATTTACTTTTAATGTTCACCTACTCTGGTGAAACCAAAATGATCAAATTCCATTTCTACTTGCTACATTTAGGAGTTTTTATATTTTTTAAATATAAAAAGGTTTAATTGTTCAAACTTTAATTAATTTTAAGATTCTAATTACTATTAGAGAAATAACAAAAAAGATAATTTTATCTAATTTGAAATCCTTTTATACACGGTAATTACATTGTGTAGGTAAGGTATTAATGTTTTTTTTTGTATATATGAAGAGAGATTCTGAATCTCTTGAACACAATACTAGAGGTTGACTTAGTGGTTTAGGAGCTCAAAAATTTACCTTCCAAATTCAAACCCGAAACTTTTTTGAATTTCTCTAATGAAAATTCTGAATCTGGCACCGGTGCGCAAGTAACAACAACCACTTGACAACTTTCATATTCTTGTCTAGTATATTTTGCTATATAAGCCACACCTACTTTGTGCATCAGCCACACATTCAAAATCATGAGTAGATATTGATATGCCAAACCTACTTTGTGCATCAGCCACACATTCAAAGTCATTAGATATTGATAAGCCAAACCTAGCTACTTTGTGTATCACTTAACCAAACGAAAATGACTTCACTACTGATTGAGCAATGCCAAGTTGCGCCACCTCCCCACGGTGGCGCAACTGAGCTAACGCTCCCTCTAACTTATTTTGATCATATATGGTTCGGTTGTGGCTATATACGCCGGATTTTATTCTACAAGCTACCAATTTCCAAACTCGATTTTGTTCAAACCATTATTCCTACTCTTAAACATTCACTCTCCCTCACTCTCAAACACTACGCACCCTTAGCTGGCAACATTGCTTGTCCACTAAATTCGAGTGGTTATCCTGAGTTGCGTTATGTGACTGGAGATTCTGTATCTGTTACTTTTATTGAGACTGATATGGATTTCAATCATCTCATTGGTAACCATCCTCGAAATGCTAAGGATTTTTATCCCTTCATTCCTCAATTGGCACAACCTAAGGATGCACCGGGGGTCAAACTAGTCCCGGTCTAGCCATTCAAGTGACACTTTTTCCGAATCTTGGCATATCCGTTGGTTTTAGTAACCATCATGTCGCTTGTGATGGAAATACCATAGTGAAATTCATAAGAACATAGGGTTTACTCAACAAATTCGGCGGTGATGAACAATGCTTAGAGAATGAGTTCATTCCATTTTATGATAGGTCCGTGATAAAAGACCCTTACGAACAAGGGACGATTATATGGGATGAAATGAAGCAAAATATGCCGGAGATAGGTGACATAATTGTGACTCCTCCTCTTGATAGAGTTCGAGGTACATTTATTATAGAACGAGATAACATTGTTAAGCTCAAGAATTTAATATTGTCAAGACGACCTAACCTAAGTTATGTGACATCTTTTACAATAACTTGTGCTTATATATGGACTTGCTTGATAAAGTCAAAGTTCGCGATTGAGGAAGAGACGATAGATGAGGATGTTATGGAGATTTTTGGATGTGTAGCGGATTATAGATCGCGTCTCAATCCACCACTTCCTCAATCTTATTTCGGTAATTGCCTAGTCACGATTGCTTCAGAAGCAAGTCGTGTCGACTTAGTTGGAAAGGAAGGGTTTATAATAGCTGTGGAAATCATTGGAGAGGCCATCAAGAATCAAATGAAGGATGAGGAATTGATCTTGAATTGTAGTTGGTATAGAGAATTTTGTGTTGTTGACATGAAACGAACACTTACAATTGCTGGATCACCAAAGTTTAATTTGTATGATGTTGATTTTGGTTGGGGTAGGCCAGAAAAAATAGAGATCATTTCTATTGATAATAGTAGTGGTATATCTATGTCCATTAGCAAGTACAAAGATTCAGATGGAGATTTAGAGGTTGGCTTGTCTTTGCCTAAAATTAGAATGAGTGCTTTTGCTGCTACATTCGACCATGGGCTAAGCTTTTTGTAAGAATGTACCAAGGTTTATCGGAAAATTTATTACTATAGAATCGTGGATTGTAATTCAAGAATGCCAAAATATATGGGCATTAATTGATGTATTATTGAATTGGTTTCTTTTGAGTGGGGACGTTTTTTTATTGAACCCGTATATCTTTGATAGTTGAGGTGATTATATGTCATGCCGATCTTCGATTAATTGAGATGCATCATTATCCTTTTTTATTGATATTATATTGTCCACATGCATTGACATGAGATTGAATATGAGTAAAGGTCTGGAAAGTATTTAGTTAGAAAAATTATATTGTCATTGAAGGTAAATATTTTTTTAATATAGCATATTTATGTGATATACCCAAAAGGAAATCAAACTAATTTAATCCAACAAGATCCAATTCAACTATAAAGATGAAAAGCATTTTTCACCTCAACTTGATTAAAGTCGCCCAAAAAACACCATACATCAATTGATTTTGCAGATTACCAGACTCTTCTGCCACTAATTTTTTTCACTACAACTTGTGCAACTTTATTGCTGATACAACAAATATATTAATGCATACACATTTCTATATAATAGAAAAAAAATAAAATAGATGTTTAAGTTCATATATACTTTGGATCTAAACTATACATTTTATTTATATTAAGCAATATATGTGAAACTTGAATTTAAGCTACCGCTTCATAGAAAGTTATTGAAGCTGAGAGCCTAATTCCATCTTGGTAACTCTTTACGTGGTTCAGCTCTCAGCAAGACAACTTTCGATTGTCCACATTAAAGAATGACAGAGGCCTCCTTTTGAGAGCTGGAAAAAAAAAATCGAAGCTTTTCGTCTAAATATATCACAACCTCTTGAACAAACTGGATATTAATAATGTAAAACACACATTAATCAAGATAAAATTTTCAACAGGTAAAATCACAAGTCATAGCTCCACGATATGTAGGTTTCTTTTGGTCTTGCAACTCTTGCAAAATATTTAGATTTAGACGGAGACCACAATGTGAATTTTAATCATTTTCTGATCTTTGAACGCATCAGAAAGTCCAAAGGCAAGCAATATGAGAAAAAAGGACATAAATTAGCTATCAGGATAGTGGCATTGAATATTTAGCTTTCTCAGGTGTTTGCAACTTATTAAGGGCATAATTCTAATGCGTATCAAGATAAATTTTCTTGGGTCTTTGCAGCTTATTAAGAGTGCTTCGGTAGTTGAGCATGAGGTAAGAGTAAGATCACAAACATACAACTGAAAGGGCAATAATAACCAATCCAACTGCTATCCGATTAATAACACAATTTTTGTTACTTTTTCATTCTTCGAAACTCAATGTCATAATGTGAAAGATAAATCATATTGTATCAAAGTAGATGAAACAAACACGAAAACATAAGAAAAAAGGTAGTTGGAGAAAACCTTGAACGCGCGTGGTCAATGCATTAACGTGAAAAGAGCCAATATCTAACTCATTAACCTACTAATTGAATCAAAACTTACTAATGGTCTTGGTTATCTAGCTCTCCATCAATTCCCTCTTATAGTACTCTTATCTCCAGTGTCAAGATATGTTTTTTTGAGGTGACGCATACATTTTTGAGAATGATCGATGCATAATCACAGCTCTCCCTTTGGCTTAAATTCCAACCTAGAAATCCTGACTTTGCTGCCAATGGAGTTCTTATTGAGCGTCGAAGCTAACTGCAGTTCAAATACAAATGCAATTCCTAATTAATAATGTGCACAAAAGTTAGAAGAAGATAGCAATATCTGATTAGAAAAGTTAATCCTTGCTACAACTTCATTTTATCATCATCAAATTTTGGCAATATGCAGAGGACCAACCACACATTTCAAATAGTAATTATGTCGCTTAGGTTAGTATTAGTTTATATGCAAGAGTTCAAAATCTATTCACAATTTTCATCGATGTTTCCCAACCAACACAGTCAAAGAATGACAATGTCATCCTCTAGAGGTTCCATTTACTTTTAATCTATTGGATCTTAGTTTTTCTCCCTCTATCTTCATGGTTACGTTAATTTCTCTACCCCTTAGCTTGGTGCAGGTCTATTTCTAGATCTGACCATATATATTGCAAATCTAACTTATTTTGCTATGCTATTGTTGGTAGCAGAGTTGTCGCTTCAATCTACTATAATTATGAAATTACTTCTAAGTTCTAACTACCACACCACTTGTTGTGACACCTCTATTTGGATAGATATCTAGATATGAAGCAATTGTCATTTTGTTGCAGGATGGTATAGAGTTGAATACCAGAATATTGGATGCACAGATGTTGTTATTATACCAAAGTTTAATTTGTATGATGTTGATTTTGGTTGGGGTAGGCCAGAAAAAATAGAGATCATTTCTATTGATAATAGTAGTGGTATATCTATGTCCATTAGCAAGTACAAAGATTCAGATGGAGATTTAGAGATTGGCTTGTCTTTGCCTAAAATTCGAATGACTGCTTCTGCTGCTATATTCGACCATGGGCTAAGCTTTTTGTAAGAATGTACCAAGGTCTATCGGACAATTTATTTCTATAGAATCGTGGATTGTAATTTAAGAATGCCAAAACATATGGGCATTAATTGATGTATTATTGATTTGGTTTCTTTTGTGAGGGGATGTTTCTTTATCGAACCCGTATATCTCTGATAGTTGAGGTGATTATATGTCATATCGATATTAGGTCGCTATAATGTAGGTGACTTTTTTGTAGTTACCTCATGAGGTCGCCGAACAGAGACCTCACGAGGTCACCAATAAATTTTCCGATTTTTTAAAAAAAGATACCTCATTAGGTTGCAATTTCATAATTTACTTTTGTTTTATTTTTAATAATGGTGGCCTCATGAGGTCACTATTATATTATTTATTTTTATTTTATATTTAAAAAAAGAGACCTCGTGAGGTCCATACAATTTATTAAATTTATTTAAATTTCTGAATAGAGACCTTATGAGGTTGCTTTATTTAAAACCAAAAATAAAAATAAAAAGCGACCTTAGTAAAGAGACCTCACGAGGCCGCTTTATCTCATAGCCTAAAAAATAAAATTGCCAAAAAGAGACCTCGTGAAGTCTCTTTACTGCATTTCTAAAAAATAAACTAAAGAAAAGAGACTTCATGAGGTCTCTTTACTGCATTTCTAAAAACTAAAATGCAGAAAAGAGACCTCATGAGGTCTCTTTTATGAAATTTCTAGAAAATAAAATGCAAAAATTTACTGCATTTCTAAAAAATAAAATGCAGAAAAGAGACCTAATGAGGTCTCTTTTATGAAATCTCTGGAAAATAAAATGCAAAAAAGAGACCTCATGAGGTCTCTTTTCTTAGAAAAAAAACTAGCTGCTTGTAACTGTTTTTGCAGCTGCTCATCATCTGTCATATTAATTCAATACCTTTCTAATTAGCTAAATCAAGCTCAAAGAGCTTCCAACAATCAACTGATACAATACATTTAATAAATATTCTCTTATCAACTCAATATGCAACTCACCTTCAATGTAATTTGAAATTGAACGAAAAATCATAGAATCCATAAGTTATATAATAGGATTTCAATGTTATCATGCATTCACAAAACAAATAAGTCCCATAAAAAAGTCATAAAGTAAAGAACTTAGATTATCTATTACAACTCTAAACTTCACTAATGTGGGAGTGTGTTTGCCACATGATACTCATCTTCTTCATCACTACTAGACTCATATGTCATATTTCTTTGTTGACCATACACTGGATATCGAGTAGGTTGAGATTGAGAGGGTCGAGGAGGGAAAGTGACATCATTGGAACAAGGGGGAATCCCTCCTGAAGCAAGTAATGCATCGAATTGAGCCTTAAGATCCGCATACTCTAAGTCCCTCCGCCTTTTCCTAGCCCGCGAGTCTTCGACTTGGCTAGATAGCTTAGCTATCTTTTGCTCCATAGCCAAATTTTTCTTCATCGATTCATCATCATAGGAACTACTTAGGCCTTCAAACTTAGAATGATATTCACGAAAGGTTTGTTGCGGAATGCCATAGGCATACCCATATCTACTCGGCCCATCAATCAAGTCTAGCCACACTCTCTCAGTCTGTTCTTGAGTAAGTGGCATACCTCGATTTTCTTCTGGTTGAGTTTGTCGTAAATCCTCTAAAACTTGAAGATATCGATTCTAAATTGAATATTGGTATTAATATTAGAATATAAATTTAGAAAATAAGTAATTATTATTTTGAATTAGAGGCTTACATAGGTCATTTCAGCTCGCGGCTCAACCCACACGTCTGATTAGGCAAGTACTGATGTGGTAATAACATAGTTGTATTCACGTTCTATCAGACATTGTATAAGTCAGTGATTACAATGACAAGACTTCAGATTTTGAACTTACCATTTGTTGAGTTATTTGATTTAAACAAATAGAATACAAGGACAAAAAACTAATACAAGGGCACATGCTTCTAATAACTTGTTCTTACCTCTGGCCATCAACTGAATTCTTAGAGCAGTTCAAGACGCTGGTTAGAGATAGAATTCTTAGAGTAATTCAAGACACTGGTTAGAGATAGGTAATCAGAATACGCACTTGCAGATTTCATCCAGTCAATACTCTCTAGTAACTTTTCTAGAAAAAATTCTCTCTAACTCAAAGTATTAGTTTGATTCTCACCCAGATATGGGATCAGTTCTGCCGTCTGTGCTAAATTGACCATTTTTTTGGTCATAAATTGATCAAATTACCTCAAACGCATCCTGAACCATGTCATGCATTCTATAATTTTCTACATTAGAATTCACTGCGCTACTACTTTCACTAGGAACATAATGTTGAAATACATCAAAACTATTATCAATTTCTCCATGACTAGTCCACACTGTGTATTCTTTTTTAAATCCATTTTGATAGAGATGAAGCTCAACAATATCTGGTTTTTCATAATTCAAACATTGACATTTATTACAAGGACACTTAATCACACCATTACGTTGAAAAGGTTCTAGTGTCTTTGTATACTCCACAAAACGAGTGACACCTTCTACAAATTCAGGTCTTAGCCCCATTCGACCAAAATTAGTCATATTATACATCCAACTATGATTCATCTACATAAATATCACAAAATTTTGAATTTCTTAAACACTAACTCATGTAATAATTTACTGAAAATCAAATTGTAACAATCCTAGTAGGGACTGCTTAACGAGGCATTGTGCAAATGAATAAATGTATCTTTGGTGACTACAAAAGCATACTTCTCTCAACAATTTGTCCCAAATAATGTCCACTTCCCTAAATAAATGTAAATAGAATACATCATTAAAAAAAAATAGTAGTACGGTGGCACTATTACAGAAGGGTCAAGGACCTTTCTGGGCACAATGGTTTCTTAACTTTCCTCTCCTCATTAAGTCTATAGTATATATATAACTTTCCTCTTCTCATTACTACAACCAATAAAATAATAGATAGATCCATATGTCATCTTAGTTTCTCATGAACAAAGAACAAGTCATGTTAATTGTCAATTATCAGCAAAAACATCTAATCTATACATTTTTCAATTTAAAAACAACAAAAATACATACAACGACATAAACCAAAATGATATTAGTTTTAGGTTTGCATCAGAACTCACAACATGATTATTTTAGATTGAGATAACGTATAATAATATCAAAATACAATACAAATCTTCATAACAAATTTTATTTCTTTATTCTTAAATATTACTACCCATGTATCTTCAGGCCTTAATCCGGCTCGACCAAAATTATACCTATTATACATCAAACTACGATGCATCTACACACAAAATTTGAATTTTTTAAATACGAAATTAAGTCATCTTCCCAGTTAGTAGTATTAAAGGGATTCTTGCATTTGAGGCAGCAGCTTCAGCTAGCATAATGATGATGATGCAGCCAATAGGCACTATTAAGGGTCAATGGTTTCTTAACTTTTCTCTCCTCATTATTCCACGATGGTTTATATCTATAGACTATAGTATGCATATATATATAACTTTCGTCTCCTCAGTTAAAAAACAACTATACTTGAACTTTCAGGTGTTCTTCAAAGGTAAGTTACTATACTTGTTGGGCCAAGAGAAGCCCATTATTTATTCGTTTGTATTATATTTGCTATGACACTATGTAAAGTGTTTTTACTACGCATTCTGGTTAGCTGGTAGGTTTTGATTAGGCCTTTTTAAAGGTGGAACTCTGCCGAAATTTTTGAGAGATATTAAAGTTAAGTTCATGATACTCAAATTTCATTCGAGGACAAAAGTTATGTTTTCATAACAGGTTTTATTTATTTATTCTTAGATATTACTACTCATGTATCTTCTTCTAAATTATAGTATGATACAAAACTTACTAGCATTCATGTTAATCAACATGAGAAGTCAAAACAGGACATTAAGATAGAACAAGACTAAAATCCAAAGATATTTATATGTTCATGAAGTGAAAAGAAAATCACAAATTCTACTTAATGCTTGCAGTAAATTGAAAGAGAGAGTTTGCATTGATGGATGCTTGCAATAAATAAACAATATAGTTACAATTTGGTTTAAAGATTGAAAGATTCACCTTTATTTGCAGAGAAAGAAATTGACACCGAGAATTTGAATCGACGACGGAAGCTTTGGCTTCAAACTGAGTGAGTTTCGAAGGTGAAAACTAAAACTTCAAATTGATGAAAGGCTCGACGAGGAGGCTACACATCTGTAAAGCTATGGGGAAGAGACAAGTTAGGGCTTTTTTTAGCTTTTAGGTGAAGAGCGGGAAAGGAGATGAACTAAATTAAAAATGCCTCTTATTTTAATTTA